TCCTGCATTAGATCATTAGACAGTAATGGATGTTTTTCAAATATATTTGTTTCATTTCAAAGAATATAGTAATAAATAATGTACGTGACCCCGTTGTTTTTTTTTCGAGGCAATACAAATAATTACAAGTTACCAAAGCAACATTTAACAAAACATTAATGCAACCATCCAGACTACTATCTTTTCACAAAACATTAAGAGTGGATATTTTTCTGAACCTGAGCCAGATGTGCCGTAGTTACATATCTTGATCCTGTGCCAAATACACAAGTTAGTTTCAGCATTGTGATTATGCTTACCATATTGTACATTCAAAGATAACTACAGCGAAATTCTTGTTGTAAGGCCAACTTGTTTGCTACCAGTTTCTTTCATGATGTATTTTAATACCAATGCCCCATATTTTTTTGTAATAAAATAACACTTTTGTATATCGTAGAATATTATAAATACGTGTGTGATTTAAATTTTTCTACTAATAGTTTTCCTTGGTCAATTTTACATGATAGTTTACATTATTACAATTATGTTGTTAGAAACCTTTACCACAATATCACAATTTTATCAATTTAATATAGAATTTTTTTATATTATGGAATTTCTTTAAAATTCTAAACTCTTTGAAGTGTCTAGTATAGTGTCACTTTCAATGTTTAGCCATCAGCCAAAGTTTTAGTTTACAGTTCAAATAACTATTTAAAAGTAGCCTAAAACATTGAGGATACAACCAGAATTTAGATAAGATAATTTAAAATAAAATATATTGATTATAATAGTACCGTACTTAAAATTTTTATCTATTTATCTAGCTTGACAACCTTGAGATCTCTGTTTGAAAATAGTTATTAAGTATTATTATTTGACAATAACTCATTATTTATTAATTTTACATCATTTATTTTATTTTCCGCTTGTTGCTTGGGACTACCTTAATAGCAAACACAACAACAATATTTTCAAACAGAAAGGATTCAAAAATATATTAATATTAAATCGTCATATTATTACCGAAGACATAGGCTACTTAAAAAAAAAAAAAAAAAAAAAAAAAAACGTTGTATACAGTATGTAATGTAAAAAAATAAAATATTACAAATCATATGTTTACAATTATTATTATTTTACTTATTTACTTCGGTGAACATTTTTTAAATAAAGTATTGTATGTGAAGAGTTTTGTCTGTTGGAAGGATTCCAACAAATTACTCTTGTGTCAGGGACATGCATCATTGTGTAAGGTCACTGACCCCATGGCTCATACTGCTCTGTATCCTTCTTTATCATAATATTGTTGAATAAATCTTTTATTTGTTTGTTTACTTTTAATAAACCAATTGTATGTGTACCATAGTGAAAACAAATTGCATTTATAAAAAAATCTACTAAATTAAATAATAAGCAAGATTTTAAATAAATTATGTGTCCTAACAAAGCGAAACAAATAAGATAATTTAATAACTTGTTTAGTTGTGTTATTGCATTTAATAAAAAAAACTAGATTAGCAATGAGTGTAATTTTTATCTCTTAGTGTTGTTGCTGTCATAGTTTAAATGGTTCATATAAAAATATTATAAATGAATTGTAATAACTTTTAGTTAAGAAATTGTATTGATTGCTTAGCATCCTACGGTGTTTTCATACTGTATGAATCAAATTAAAATAATATTAATTTACCATATAGTGTACTCATCACTGAATTCGTTTCAATAAAGAAAAAATAAAGGAAACTGAGATTGTTTGGTAATTTATTCTAAAATATTCCTTAGAGAGTGGTTATTTTAGGTTTGATGATAATCTTAATCCTTTCTCTAATGGTCATTTTGGTCAAACTATTTTAATATTATTATATTAAAATAACTAAAATATAATACGTATGTTTAAAATTGTAGATGTATTCAAACCTCTTGCTTTAGGGAGTAATTTTACTACATTATAAACAATTAATTTGTTCTTTCTTTTTGTGCCCCAACTTTATATCCTAGGCTCTACTGGATCTTCTGTTACGCTAGGTTTTAGCCTGAAACTGTTTTAGACATTAATTACTTCAGGCTAGTCCTAGAGAGATTTTGCTTGGCGGAATTCGATCCATAGGCTTCGGTCCCAATAAACAAATAACACGATTAACTAATAAAACATTTTTACAAACACACAAGGTAACCCTGTTATTTCTGACGCACAGAACATCCATCATGTAAATATAATTTAAGGTTGATTCAGTTGGGATGACAGAATTAACATGGACCCGTTGTTTGGTTTGGTTTCAACCCCTCATAAATCTGCTGCCGTGTTAGGTCGAGTCACTGTGTTTGCTGGCTGCTGTGCTCACCACGCTGATAATGTGGAACTGTAAAATCACGTATATTTGCAACACCACTCCAACACTATTTAGAATATACTATTTAGAAGTACACCTTTTGTTTTACACAGGGTGAACAACTTAACTGTCATACTATTCTGGTATCTAAAAAACTATTTAATTTAGAGAACACGTTAAAATAGAACACAAAGCCTTTTCATTTAAATTTGAATTGCACTTTTTCCGGCCATATTGGTCATTCCAGTTATGTTTACATTGGAAAAACATGAGTTAATGTTTTTTTTATGTAATTGAAAAAATAGTTTGAGATTTCTATTTAATGTTTTTCTAAATATAATTGATCTAAAGAACCAATGGCTTCTCAGTTAAGTAGTTCACCCTGTTATCTAGTATAATAAGAAAGTTTTTATGATGATGTCGAATCTTTGAATAAGTTGGGAGTTTGAAATTCCATGGAAGCAAATAGCTTAGCTTTAGGTTTTTTTTTATCTACAAAGTGGTGGCAACAAAAAAAAGGTCTATAAAAAGTGTTGGCCAGAACAGGCTGTGCACTGCACCATACAACATAAGCTTCTAACCTTTTTGCAACTAAATATTCCTGATTTTCTATTTCCGTGTCTGTGTCCTGTTTATTATTAATGTTAACGCCCTTAATTGAAGTGGAAAATAGTACTAATCTGAATATGACTCGTATGTGAGTCGAGACTAGTTTCATAATCGCAACAGTTCAGGTCTCATAATTAATTGTCTTGTTACTTACACCAAATTATAGAAGAAAGTAATATAATTTCTTGTCTTTAGTATTTAAGTATGACCAGTTCAATTTGTCCAATAAGGGGATTTAAAATATTTTCAATTCGTACTAAATCCATTTTGGGGAAAAACTGTATTTTTTATTGAAATAAAATATTTTTTTCTGAACACATTATTTATAATAACACTTTTTTAATGCTGGAGCAGCAGGTTTGACAAAAGAAAGTTCATATCCGAAGCTTAAGAAAGACATTAGGCTCACTTGTCCTTAATTGAAAGAACTATTGGAGCGGATCGGCAACAAATTAATCCCTTTTTGTAGAGCTATATCTCTAATATTGTTCTGAAAACAATTCTATAAACCATTTAGTTTTTATACAAATTTGCTTTCATGGGAAAACTAAAAAATATGGTATGTCACCGTGTCGAGTCTCCACATTACAAAAATATATATTATATATATATATATATATATAGTAAAAGGAACCTTTACCTTATAAAATTAAAAAAAGAAACTATATTTTTGAAAAGTGAACAATATTTAGACATTTTTAACCATAATATATGTGCATTTGAAAATAGACAAAAAAAAATTTATTTGTATGTAAACTACTCCTTTTGGTCATAACGTTTGACAAAACTTTAGCTTGAGGACACAGATTTAAATTAATCCCACGGGATCATTATCTACTCAACCAAATATTTTAGGGGGAGTAAAATTTGTTGCCACTAAATTGTTGCAATAAAATAAAGAACGTGAACTAAAATAAGTGAATCTAACTTTGAAAAGGGAATTGCTCCAAAAGTGATTTGTTCGAACCACCTGCCATAAAATCCATTGTAGCCCCGCAAGGGTACGACATATTGTTCCACTTGTAACGTTACAAATGTTACACTCTCGTTTCTACGTCTTTATTTCAGTCTTTCTTTCATAAGATATTGTTTTATCATCGTTTTCTAAGGACCTTGTGTCTCTTAAAACCAAAATATTTTATAATTAATTGTACAGAAACTTGTGTTTTTCGTTTATTGAAAAAAGTACGAAATGCCCAGTCTAATTAAACTTAAGTTCATGCAACCACCTAAATTCATACTTGTTTATAGCACAGGTTTAGTTCAGCGTGAACAGTTTTGTTCAATAAAAATGTTTGCAGTGTTATTTTATCAAAAAGATACATTTTATTACACTGAATAATGATGATAAAGGATCAGTTTTGTTGGATTTCATGTTCAGTGTGTTGAGTAAAGACATTAATTTACACTTTGAAAAACAATTTAAATAATAATATTTATCTTGATTTATTTCAATATTTTTTAATATGAAACTTAAGTAATCCATTTACATATTTTACATTTGCACTTTAGTTGACCAAAAGATCCTTTGCAGTAGTTTTTCGTGTTCTTCTCTCAGATTTATTTTTTCATCATACGAAACAAATGTAATAGTTTTTCGATACGTTGAAGGAAATTCAATAATACAGATTGAGATCATCAAACCTACAAAATGTCCAATAAAGGGAGTTCCTTATATTGCTTCTCTTTCAGAATTTTTTCACCCTGATGGTTTATATTTGTTACATAATATTTATAATCTATAACACCATAAATACAGTGTGGTGGTTCTTACAAAACTAAGTTCAAGTATGAAAAAATATTGTTCGTTATCATATTAAGTCATCAAAGTTTTATGTTGCATTGAATTGAGTTTAAGCTATTTCATGAACTTTAGTTCATGAAAGAACAATTACACAAAGTATTAACTTTGAAACTATTATTTATGCTTTTTTACTTTAAAAATAAATCAATTGAAAAATGCATGTGATTACATTTTGTTTCTTAGCCAAACTGATTTTAAAACAGCACTTGAATTAAATGTGTTGTTACTCGCATTTAAGTAACGATGGTAGAAAGGCAATAAAATATCACATCAAATGAGCATATAGTATATTTCAAATTACATTTTTACAACTAATACCCTGCTTTTTTAAGCACATGTCGTACTCATACATGTATACATAAACCTTTATTTCTTTTACATCCAGAAAACAGTAATTTAATACTTGTAGATGACACACCTAGTAATCTAAGTAAGAAACGAGTTGAATCCGATTAGGCCTAGACAGTTCCCTTGCACAAAAGTGGTAAATATAAATTTAAGAAAAAAATACGTAATATTATTTTTAGTGTACAAAATATGTTTATTTTTGCCATATTAACAGTTTTAATCACAAATTTGAATAATTTAATCATTGCTACTATCAAGAAACTGATTTAAATACATTCTTAAAGAGTGTAGAAAAGCCAAATATTTTACCTTTGGGTATGGAAATAAAATATACCCAACAAACTAATCCTTGATTGAATGGTTATGTTATATGTCAATACTGTTGGATTATTAACTTTGCACAATGGAATATAATTTTTAATTTAACATACTTCTTCTGTGCAGTAAAGCTTCAAACTGTTGTTGACTATGAAAACGAGTAAAAAATTAGTTTCTTGGGCCAGATACATTCACCACGATCTGGCTTGATTTTTGTTTAGATTATCATAACATTGCACTTTCAATAAATTATATTTACCATAAAATAATCAAAAGAATGAATATAATCCATCTTAAAAGAATATTTACTACTTGATTCGCATCCAATACTTCTTCAATCGATGAACTATCACTACAATAATATGTGCAGGATTCAAAATTATAAAAACATGATTGAAATATACATATTAATTCTCTTTTGAGGAAAAGTCGACAATGATGTATTTACAATAAGCGTTTCGTGGTTGAAAATGGATTTTACATCGAAAGAATGTCTTAACAATGATTTTCACATTAACACCCTTATTTTAAATTATGATATGGTCAGGAGTTTAAATAAACGATTTCACATCTATTAACACTGTACACGGTTTCTCATGGAAATAAACATATACTCAGACGTTTAATTGACTTACACGTAACCCTACGATCTAAAATCACATACTTAATACTATAGAGTATATTGTAAATAAAATATCACAAGGTATAAATAAATTTTGTTATAAAGAAAAAAATACTTTTATAAGAATTTGATTCCACAGAGCTTTTTTAAGCCTCTTTTCATGTAATATTGCGATTTGTAGAGAGAAAAAAAACAGTCGTTTGTCTTGAAATTTATTTTAAGTTTTTCTATTTGCTACTGAAAAAAATACATAACATTATTAATTTTGGATTTAAAATTTTTGTGAGAATGTTCTCAATACTCTATCCGGAATTCGATTAAAATGTTGTATTATTCATTGAATGCTGCTAATAAAAAACATCTCGATTACATGTTCCACCTAAAAGTCCAATATTTTGAATTTTAAAATACACAAGTTGAATTAATCTTCCTCTTCAACAAAATGTTGTACGGGGCTCGGTACTAATTGTTGAAGAGAGAGACCAGATAAATAATATCCACATTCTACTGCACATACAACAACAGTATCGTATATCTTAGCAGTCTCTGTACATTAAAATCAAAGTAATATCAAAATATTTGTCAAACATTATAAACAAATGTTTACATTTCGTTAAAAAGTAAAAAAGTAAAAATCATTGAAAATAATTGTACGTTTGTATCAATTTATATAATACTGTTTTTGTGGTGGTCGTTAATGAACAGCACAATGTTTTCAGCATTATAGTACAAATAAATCGGCGTACATTTAATCAAAAAGAGAGTCAACGAAAGATTGTTGGTACATAAACAAGACATAACTTATGATAGCTTCTTTGGTAACGACTATTAGAGCCATTTCACGTTTGGTTGGTTATCACAGTATTTCGTGTAGTCAGAAGATCCTCCAGGTTACATTGCACTCTCCAGCACACCACTGACCACTGTGTCCCTGGAGGAGAATGTGTCCTAGAGGTTGGTCGGAGGAAGGATGATCTTCACTCCGTTCTTCACCGGCGTAGTCACCGCGCTATCTTTGGTGTCACTAGTCACCGTGACATTGGAGCGTGACGTCATCGCTGTGGAGTGATCCGTCTTGCTGACTAAAGGTCCAGTCTCGCCGTGCTCGTCGTCCGCTCCCCCTTGGCAGATGATGGCAGTAGGACCTTTAGTAGGCCTCAACCGCTCGGAGCCTCCACGGTTATGCCTCCTGGGGAAAACACTGTTCTCCATGTGAAGAGTCGCGTTCACCTCCTTTCCTGCAGCGCAAGTGCAGGCCTTCAGGAAACTCTTCTTGAAGTTGTCACTCAGGAAAGCGTACAAAATCGGATTCATGGCTGAATTTGAGTAGCTTAAGATTCCTACTAGGAGGAAGATGGTGATGGCAAAGTGGGATTGGCATTGTTTCGGTGGTGTGTAAATCAACGCTACTTGTGTAATCCAGTAGGGCAGCCAGCAGACTACATAAACAGTGATGACAGTGAGTACTAACTTTGTTACTTTCCTGTGCGACTTTTTCTTCTCTTTTGATTTGTTTTTAGGCCCAACTGTCCTCAGCTTTCTAATCACGAGCACGTAAAAGCAGAATATAAGCATCAGTGGGATGGCGAACCCTAAAATGAAAGAGTACAGAGTGAACGCGGTCTGCCCACTAAGATTTTCCATCTCGGGCCAAATTATGTTGCAACTGTTGTTCATTATGCTGGAGTACATCACGACTGGAATCATCAGGAATACGCTGGCGGTCCAAGCAGAAAATGAAACCACTTTAGAAATCATCGGAGTTCGAATTTTCGGAGCGGAAATAGGATGACATACTGCTACATATCGGTCAGCTGACATAATCGTGAGAAATATACTACTGGTGAACTGGTTGATGCTAGTCGTAGTCATGTAAATCTTGCACATTATCTCTCCAAACACCCAGGATTGAAGACTCATCGTGACGATTAAGAATGGAATTCCTATCAGGAAACATTCGTCAGCGATTGCCAAGTTGACAATGTACATGTTAGTAACTGTTTGCATTTTGCTGAAGCGTAACACGACGTAGATGACTAACGAGTTTCCGAAGAGACCCACGATGCAGACAAGAGCGTAGAGAATTTGCGTCAAGAAGAAGAAGTTTGGCGGGTCTGTGGTACAGTTAAACTGAGTCTCGTTGCTGGAGGTGTTGCCAAACAAAGATGTGTTTACTACATCTACTTCTACTGTAAGCCAACTCGGGGTTGACATAAATTCACCAGCCATCTTGGATTTCTGCTTTAATATCTTGTAACTATCTTAATGAACGATTTCTGTACTTGTATGTAAGAAAATATTAGTTCTTGGTAAGATAACATCCATTTCACTAGTGTATTATAACTTTTAGGTGATGAATATTACTTATCGAATCAAACTCTCCTTATATACTCAATTTTGTAATGATATGTTGACACGTTTTGTGAAAGTTTGTTTCATTCTTCTGGTAAGTGACAGTGGTCCTTCAGCAGCATTGGGCAACCTGAAACAAATAAATAATTTTATAGAATAATACTTCTAATCACAATAATAATATCTTTATTGCCGTCAAACAAATTAAACAATTGAAAGCCGTGTTTAAGCCCCTGCATGAGCTGTATAATAACAAAATAGGATTTACCTTCGTCACTGCAACTCAAATTCTTGTGGTGAAACGGCCGTAACGCAGTTACACCACAAGAATTTGAGCTGCAGTGACGAAGGTAAAGCCTAATTTTAGTTAAACAATTGCATGGCATCCTTTATCATTTAATACACGCAAACTAATAACAGAAAAACAAATAAAGACAACAGCATAAACAATTCAAAATACTCATGACTAACAAATGACGCAAAATTAATCATTTCATTGATTTAGAATCTCAGAGCAGCCGAACGCACACCTACTCATTTGTATCAAAAAACTCACCTACAGTGTAACATTTCTCACCGACGGGAAATATTTAGGAGTAGTCTAAAAAGGCTAGTTTAAAAAGTTTTTCGTTTCTCTGTTTCCTTTCTTCTTCAGGAATTCAGGAATCTCACCCCCATCTGTGAGGGGGGGGGGTAAAGAGGTAAAAATAATTAAGAACTAATTAATAAGAAATAATATAAGTTACATTTTTGCTTATATTATGTTGAAAAGTTATAGAGTCTGTCAAATTATTTCATTTCTGAAGGATAGATTTTCATTTAGATACCTTTTAAACTACATTTTAAAAAGAATTGAGAAAAACAGTGATTTAGCACGGCTCAATTAAAACGAGTAAAAACCCGATGAAGCCCGTTAATTTTGTAGCTACGATTAATAACGAACGATTTTTGCTGGAAGGGTGGGGCATGTGGCAGTGAATCAACCCCACTGACACTAAGTGTAATTTGCTGGAAATTTTCCAAAACCAACGAGAAGGGGCATCTAGTGCGTTTACTTTCAGTACAGTATTTGTTGGTACAGCTACGAAACTTTCAATGATATATTATTCTAGACTAACAGTTGTGTTAATTTTAAATGGTATTTGCTAATTTAATAATTAGACTGCAAAATCAACATAAAGTCGATTTCTATTTCTATTTTCATTTTATAAATTAATTTACTCATGTTTATAATCTTCTTAATTTTACTTTCAAAGGCGGTATTATCTAATTGAAATAATTAATATATCTTCGAATTTGATACTTATTGTGAGCTATTTGCAACTAATATGAACCATCAGCTATGTCACACACAAAAATAAGGTGCCCGAAAAAAATGCAAACGCCCTAAAATCTGGTACCTAAGGGCAGGCCTCCCGTTTCACGGGCACGCAAAATCTCCCTTCCTGCAAACATAATACACAACATGACCATTGGATCCTGAGCAATGTTCGTAGTAGAGTTTGTAGAACATAAACATACACATTGTTTAGCAGACGTTACTGTCACCCCTATGGCATCAAAAAAGTGCTTGGGAAATCATAACCGTTATTATTTAACCAAACAGCTTCTTGTTACATATACAGGGTGACCGTTAAGTCTTAGGACGACTTTATAACTTTTAAACGACAAACGATATCACAACCACATGTGGTATACCGTTACTGGAAATTGTAAGCTACTTTTCTGTGTACATGGTGGTCGGATATCACCTTTGGGGGACGGCCCGTCGGGGGTCAGAAGAAAATCTTTAATGACAGCCTATGTTGAGTTGTACATCATTTTAAAGGTATACTTCAACTGAAAACAACGCCGCAAACCGCACTTCAAAAGGTTGATCCTGCGCAAAATGACAGATGTTCAAAGATTTTCAAAATTAGCCAATTTCTTTAAATTAAAACACTTTTTTAAATCTTTAAACAACTGTAATTTTTTAACGGATGGTTCTTTTGAAGTACGGTTTGCGGCATTCTTCTTTGCTTAAAATTCCCTTTAAAATGATCCCCGTAACTTCACATTCAGAGATCCAAATAACTGCAAATAACTCTTCAGGGCGACGGCCCACAAGGAGTGGGAAGTAAATCTTGAATGGAAGCATAGGTTGATATGCACATCAAATTAAAGGTATTTATTAGTAGAATACAATGCTACAAACCGTACTTCAAAAGGGCCATCCGTTAAAAAATGACAGTTGTTTAAAGATTTAAAAAAGTGTTTTAATTTAAAGAAATTGGCTAATTTTGAAAATCTTTGAACATCTGTCATTTTGCGCAGGATCAACCTTTTTAAGTGCGGTTTGCGGCATTGTTTTCAGTTGAAGTAGACCTTTAAAATGATATACAACTCAACATAGGCTGTCTTTAAAGATTTTCTTCTTACCCCCGACGGGCCGTCCCCCAAAGGTGATAGCCGACCACCATGTACACAGAGAAGTAGCTTACAATTTCCAGTAACGGTATACCAAATGTGGTGGTGATATCGTTTGTCGTTTAAAAGTTATAAAGTCGTCCTAAGACTTAACGGTCACCCTGTATATACAGTTTCGTTCAAATCATTAATACTCCCGAACTTGCCTGAGAATTGTATTTTGGCTTGGAAATATATCATAAAGTTTAAGGTAAAAGGGAACTTTAAAAGATTCCCAGTGATGCTGTGATAGACACACCATTTCACACATACTTAGCATAGGCAAAAATAAGGTTTTTATCGTTCCTTAGATAGTAAAATGACTTAACACACGGCAATGAATGACATCCTTTCCCCTCGCAACAATAAATGTCACGCATATTCTGTTCGTTTAAAGAACGTCTGGTTCCTATCGGTCTCCCTGTATTCATGTTACACATTTTTTTCTTGCTTTTCCATAAACAATATTTTATTTCGCAGATTGAATTCACCAAAAAGATCGAGGCTATAGACTTTAATGTCGGTTTTTAAGTTTTAACATCAGAAATATTTTAGAAAATCTGTTAGAAATCCTGGAATTGTCATTAATATACAGCACCGTTGATCAAACTCATACTTTTTTCACGATAATTAATACGCTCAAGCTCACATCCAGTGAAAAGTATAAGGTACTATTATGTTTCTAATATTATTTATAATGTCTTATACAAGAATGGGATGATAGATGAAATACTGTTTCGTAAGGGAAAATGTGTATAATACTACTTACGTGTATCACTCTCTATCATAATTTGTGGTAACAGCAAAAGTATTACGAAAGCGTTCGTGCCTTTGGGAAGTTACCTCCCTAACCGGAAGACAATTATAGGTCAGCCTATCACTAGGATTTGCTTTACTGACTCTACTCACGGCCCTGCACTAAACTGTGCTAACACACGACATGTTATCAACACATCCTGCTGTATTAGCTGTTTGGACAAAAACTGATGCGTTGTTTTTAGTTCGTTAGGAAGTTTATTGTATGATTTAGGAGATATTTCATTGTTGTAGGAACCCTCTTTTAAATAGATGGTTTTTATTCTGGTAATATTTTTTAAATTGTATTTCAACTCCAAACAAAATAATAATGCCTTTCTTTAAAATTTAATCAAAAAAGTGAAACACATGAAGTAGTGTAGTTATGTTCTACACACTAATATCTCTTCTATAATGTCATAAATAATTTACTTATTGTCATAACCATGTTGTCTATCTTGTTTTGTTTATGTAAATAATCACTTGAAGGGGAAGCGGAGCGAGTGCCAGCATATTTTGTTGTGGTGGGTCATAAACTGTCAAAACCGTCAGGTAGGCCCAAGTGCCAGTTGACTTCCCAGAGCATAGGAGTGATTCAGGGGGGTATTGGTGGAAGGGGGTGTAGTAGGCAGGATGTAACGGAGACCGGGTACAGTCTCTTAACTGGGCGACCCTAATATCGATCGAAAATATCGATTCGATTAGTAAACCTTCATTCGATTTTTCGCAATCAGCAAGTTTAGTTAGGTTAGGTTATAATAGTTTTATTTTATCCCTCAAACCAGTTCTGCTCATCCTGCCCTCCCCCTGGTCGACCATTCCAACCCCATACCCACAACACCGTGGGACCAGTCACTGATACTTGGCTGGCACTCTCACCACCAAGCCTCAGGTTATAAAATGACCCTCATCAAAGTTCTATGCAACTGGCACTCAAACGTGCACTCACTTAACAGGACTGCTTCTGATAAAAAAAAACATATATATGTATCATAGCATTTTAATTAGCCTATTATTCAGCAGTTTTAATATACAATTAGGAAATAAACTGGATCGTTTTGGCCCGTGAGCTCTCTCAATGTGGTTAGTAAAAACTAACAAATAAACCTAATGTAAAAATAATCAAACAAAATGAATGCATTTGAAATTAATTAATAGGTACTACCTACTTACCTCATCATACTTATTTGATTGTATAATTGTAACTGTAATAACTAGGTTTTGGGGAAAAATTAAACTTAAAATTGTTTTATTATTCATGAAAACTAAATATTCTAAAATATTATTAATAATTGTTTTATTCAAAGACTTGCCTTCATTATTAGTACATTTTCTCTACATAACAGCAACATATTTTACAACAAAATAAATTCTGCGTAACACCACTAAATGTTACGTCAATATTAATGTCCAGCCTATGTAAAAACTGAAGGTCAGGGACGAAAGTCATTTAAAGGTTAACGCTGCTGTTGTTGCTCCCTTAAAATCAATGTATGCCCATTTTTAACCTATCCCAAGCCTCTGTGGGTGGGTGGATTTAGGCGTAGATTAAGGGTGGGGGAGAAAAAAATATAATGGATTACCCTTACTTACTTATGATAAATTGTTTTCAAATCAAATATAAAAATAAGGGACCTTAATAATCACTGTTTATGCCCTTTTTCTGTACAAAAAAATACAACGTGTGGTCATTTACCTTCTTACGTTATTCTAACTTTTCTACAGTATGAACCTTTTCTAAAGATTCTACGAATTGTCTAGGTTATAATTTTATTTGTAATCTGTAAGGCAAATTATAACCCATGAATGTTGATGATTTTGATTAACAATAATCGTAACAACATCATAATAATAACCGTAATAAATCATAATAATATTTACAAACAAACTAAATGTTTTTCTAAATAGCAGCTCATTTAACTTATGTGTAACCTACCACGTTTAGTATTATTTAACTAGTTATAGTCCAGTCAAATCGTTGTGGAAATTTACCTCACTTACAAAAAATAACAGCGAAGATTTTTTTTCTGAATTCTATGTTTTTGGGGCGCTGAATCAGATTCTGAAGAGATCCAACAACATTTTCTGGTGCGTTTTGATCTAGACAGAAAAAATATGAAAATCTTCGCACTTTTTCAGTTTCTTGCTTATAACTCGCAAACTATGCGGTCTACAAAATTTTATTAAATTTGAAAATGAAAGATCATAAAATTTCCAACAAAATAAATACATATTGTTCTTTATCAAACGCATAAATATCCCGCCAGATCTATTTTGTAGGAAATTTCATGGTCTTTCATTTTAATATTTAGTTAAATTTAGTAGAACGCATAGTTTCCGAGTTATAAGCAAGAAACTGAAAAAGTGCGAAGATTTTAATTTTTTAGCATCTAGCTCAAAACACACAAGGAATTTTTGTTGGATCTCTTCAGATTCAGATTTAGCGCCCCCAAAAACATAGAATTAAGAAAAAAATCGTCACAGTTGTTTTTTGTAATATTTAACTACCGTATGACTGGACTATTAGTTTATAATTATGTTTTTCTTGCAGAGCGGTTATAAAAATATTTAATATAAATTTTCAAATTTGTTTGATAGAATGTAAGTACATCGTGGACACTATAAAAATATGTTAATATGTAATATATTTCAGTTAATATTATTTACAACTGGCATGTATGAAACAAGAACAAATATAGTAATATTTTATTTAATATGTATATTCACTGATCATATACTTACAGCAGGAAACCAACTCCCCGGCTTCAACTGAAACAAAAATACATGTTTTTAATAATTGAAATATATATTTTTAAATTTATACTAAGTTATTTTTACAAGATGCCAATGACATGGTAATTAAAGTATAAATAGTTTTTCACAAGAATGGATCAAAGATTTGGTGCTCTTATTGGTACGAAATTAACCAAATTTTATATACAGTATTTTCTTATAGTTTTATATAAATATCTATATTTTAAATATTTGTATATGCATTATATTTAACATGTATTACATTACTGTTCTAGAATTTGATTACAGGAAATTCCCTCAGTGTGATTACCTAATAACGTTTATAGCATTAATGTTTATAGCGTGTTACAAACTTGATTAACCATAAAACTAAGCCTATAGCCTATGTTTAATTTTATGGTTATTACAATACATAAGGAGTGTTATTTAATGTGGAAAGCAGTAAGGCGCACACTAGAAGTGTGGTTGTGGGGGTCAGGACTTACGTCGATAAGCTCTTTTGTGATTTGACAGCATATAGAACCCACCACTATATCCAACCCCGTCACTACACCCTGGTTAAGTAAGCAATGTATGAAGAAAATATCACCTAGCCACGACACAAATACGGTTGTTCAATACGTTGATGGTTTCTTTTTAATAAACATACAACACGAATTTATGAGACATTCGTGTGAATATTTTTAAGTTTCTATTTATACTTCTCTTAGTATAAGCAACAAGTAGTATATACAGTAGTATATTAAGCAAAAATCACCAAATTGAGGATTTTTTTTATTTAATCAAGTATATAGTACTTAATAATCTTTTTGTATTACTGTAAAAAGTTATTTTAGACTTGAAAAATAAAATAATAAAATGATTTGTTCACATCGTGTTAGGAAGTTGTACATCGGAATACATGTTAATATGAAAACTTTAATCGAACCCAAGTATATTACAAACTTGTAATGTACTTAGGGGGGCAAACAGGAAATCTAATAAATATTTCCTTAGACAGGATTCCCTTAAAAGAGTTTCTCCAATGAGTTCTGCAACGTGCAATGTTACCTCAAATTATTCCTATTTGCAGAATTTGAAAATTACCTTCAACTAAAACTATCTACATTTCTTAACAAATTAAAATCACTATTAAGTACGGTAGTACCTAATGTTGATGGTGTTTATTTCAGTAAAGATAAGAAAGGACCATTTGTTCTCCTAATCCGTGAGAGCTAAGCTATTACAGGTCAAAAACACTGTTTTTACGTTTATCCGTACAGAAGCAGAGATAAAAAGCAAGGAAACGGTGAAAGAAAAGGCTGGAGGCCTAATGACACACATAAGAGGCTACTGAGGGCCTTACAGCTGATTGATCATCTTTGCTCAGCTGACAGCTGTAAATTGTGTTTGCTGAAGACTTTTGTAAGTGATTTTTAATGAAAACATAGTTATAGAAAAATATTAATCTTATTTAAATTCTGTATGGTTAGTAGGGTTACTAGATGAATGATGCTGAAATTACTATGAAATTACTAGTTCCTCTAGAAATGTCCATGCCTCTAGAATATAAATATTAGTACGGACGTAATAATAGTGATTCTTAATAATTTCGGTATACCTGACTTTTCGAGTTCAGGTACCAAATATAAAACAAAGAAACCCAATTTTTTCTCCTGGTCTGGTGGTTAAGGTTTTAATTCATATGTCAAACCATTACGTTTTTAAAGTCTTAAGAGGTTTAATTAAAGAATAAAGGGAATGACAAAAAAGAGTTATAATTATACTTGCTAAATTCTTGTTATTAGCTTGTTTAATAGTACACGATTGTATTGTCACGAGTATATTAAACAAATCTAGAACTATTAAATGAGAAGAGTATAAGAATAACAAGCTATTATAATTCTTCAAACAAAAAAAAGTTGCCAAACAGTTTCAATTTGTTTGTTATTGATTATATTTGTTTTTTATCATAGTGCTATGTTTAAAAATAGTTTAACAACAAAATATCTACGTATGCTTTGGTTTTTAACAGATCTGTCATAATTGTATTATGACTGAATGTTTAACAAAACATTTCAACTTATAACACCAACATAACGACGTCCTATGACTTTAGGTTTTGGATGGTTGTAATTTTTTCCTGTAGGTTTAATAGGAATCAAAAACAGGGATTGTTATGAGTAGACACCTAACATTTGACTCTAGGACTGTGTGTTTGAGAGATCGTTCCTAATCAGTAAAATTAACAGATTAAACCCATTGACTTAAAGTTTAACAAATCGGCGCTATTTTTGACTACCTTTTGTCAGAATATCAAAGTGTCGCTGATTGTGGCTTTAATTTCTACCAATCGGTCGTACGTACCTGTCCAGCAATTTAAACATACACTTAAACGGAGGGGACCGACTGACTGTAAGTTCCACTTTGTACTGTTAACAGTTAACAAGTTACAAACCGGTTTCTCTGGCAAAGCACGAACAAATACCAGGTGTTAGAGTGTAAAAAACCCTGGCTACACCACTTAACATCCTCTACAGCCTTTTTAATGACGCATTATGGTAACAGCAAACATACATCGCGGACACCTTGTTCTGAACATATTTATAGTGTCCATTATCCGTATTTATAATGACAATAGTTTTTAATAATATTTGTAGCTTTAGCTATGAATGGTCGGATGATTAGTTTCATAGTTTTTATTCTTATTCACCGATAATAAATGTATAAAGTCTGCTGTTGTCTAGTTGTTAACACATGAACTTCAGTGTGGGAGGGACGGGTTCAATGTCACACATCCACAAGGTACATGGGCTTTAAATATCCTTAAAATGTCTCATTACACTGTAGAATACCACCTATAGACGATAAGATATAAAATGACATGGCTTTAGAAATATTTTTTACCTTCATCCTGTAATTTTCAGTTTAAATGTTCATGATTAATTCATATAATCATTGCGGTTATAAAGAAACTACGTATTTTTCTATCAAAACAGTTTTGACATTTTCATATCTTAAGCCCACATATTAAGGATTTGCCAGATCATATTTTACCCAAGACACGTCTGGTTTCAAGCTTGATCCCTCGAAGGAATTATCTTTGAAGAGACAACGTCGTAATACTTGTACGACCACTCGAGTTACATCCTGGTCAGCTACGCTTTATTGCAGTTGTAATAAATGGTTATACAAGTATTTATCTTAAAAAGTAATAGTACAACATGCTATTACAAAATGTATCGAATTTGAGTCTATTTCTATTAGATCCATGTTAAATATATAAAAAAATTAAAAGGTTCTTTAATATATAAAACGTAAAAATAACCTAAAAATATCTAATTAATGTACAGACAAAACTATAATTTTATTTATATAGATTGAAAAAATATTAATGTTAAAAACTGTATTCGGTGTGATTGTATGTGTCATATTTTGAGTTTACATATTTCATATATGCTCGGTTAATAATCGCTAAATGTTTGATAATGATATGGTAAATATTGTCACACTTCTCTAAGTACTTTCCTAAATGTTATACTAACGTATGGCTATATAATAGATGAGTGAACGAAGTGAACGAATCTATGTATCGTGTATAGCGGAGTCGGAGAAAAGTTGTCCGCTTGTCTGTGAGTGAGTGTGTTCGCACCAAAAACTCAAGAACCGTTGCACTTATAGCGTTCAAATTTTGCACAAATAATTATGACACCAGTGGGAAGACCTCATTAAAATTCTAGACGACTCCGTTCAGTAGTAATTATTAAAACCTTAAAAACATTTTTAAATTTGTCCCATAAGAATAACATTAGGAGCTACCTTCTTCTTCTTCTTATTTGTTTACGTTTTGCGACCAACAATTTTGTTGTCTACTTAAGACAGAGAGAACGACTTTTACTCTAAGCTTTTTTATTCATGGAGTAAACAGTTTGGCGTCTATGAATATATATCATTATAATTTCACAGGTTTCAGAATAATTTTGTTTAAGTTAATTAAATTTCACAACTTTCTGAATAATAAATTGAACTTTACAATATTAATCGGCAGTTATATACCGTTTATGTTCAGTATTAAACTTCACCTTTAAATTAAAAATATATATGTATATATTTCGAACAAAGCTGCTTTTTACATTATTCAATTTAATGTTGGCATTGAATATTAAATATTCAAAGATGTTAGTAATACTAAAATGCTATGCGAAGGGGGGGGGAACAGGTCCACGACGTAGAGAGTGGTAAAGGAAGCGGAAAGGTGAGCAGTGCGGAGTGTGGAAATCCTTTGTGACTGTTAAAATTAATATATCTGTAATACCATAGATTAAACATACTCCCTAAGGGAGTATGTTTAATCTATGGTAATTCTTATATGCTATAGAAAGAGAGGGAAACAGGTCTACGATGTAGGAGGTAGTGAAGGAAGTAGTCAAGACGAGCGCTCCGGAGTGTGGAAAGCCTTTGTGACAGTTATAATAATGTATCTGCAATTCTAAAAACACAATGGGAAGGGAGAGAAACAGGGCCACGACGTAGGAAGTGGTGAAGGAAGTAGTCGAGGCGACCATTCCGGAGCGTGGGAACCCTTTGTGACAGTTAGATTAATGGATCTGCAATTCTAAAAATGCTATGGGAAGGGAGAGAAACAGAGCCACGACGTAGGAAGTGGTGAACGAAGTAGTCAAGGCGAGCAGTCTGGAGTGTAAGGACACGTTGTGACAGTTAGGTAAATGTACCTGCAATGCTAAAATGCCATAGGAAGGGAGGGAAACAGGTCCACGACGTAGGAAGTGGTGATGGAAGTAGTCAAGGCGAGCAGTCCGGAGTGTGGGGACCCTTTGTAACAGTTGGGTTAATGTACCTGCAATACTAAAATGCCATAGGAAGGGAGGTAAACATGTCCACGACGTAGGAAATGGTGATGGAAGTAGTCAAGGCGAGCAGTCCGGAGTGTGGTGACCCGTTGTGACAGTTAGATTAATGGATCTGCAATAAAAAAAATGCTAAAGGAAGCGAGGGAAACAGGTCCACGACGTAGG